ACATTTCTTGCAATAATCACACCATGACGTGCTGTCATACCCAGAAGGTGGCGCCTTTCTGTGTGTACCGTATTGTATTGTGAGTTGGTCTCSTTGTATTTTGGGTTAGCTTCTGCTCCGTTATTTTGATCTTTTGTACTTCTATTATCGTTSTGGTACACACAGAAGGAACCAAAAGAGGGTATACGCTTCTATTTGCATTTGTAAATTTATTTATTGCAGATGTTTTATAAAAAGTAATTGAGTATTATTTTCAATGATTTCTTGTCAATGATTGTTGAATTTACTTTATACATGTATATCACTWGAATAAACAAGCAAATAAGACATTATTTCTTCGCATTTAATTTGTACTTCTTTTATTTCATGGATTTAAGAGCCATTACTTTTTAGAAGTCCTGCATCTAAGTTGAGACTTTGGCAGTCTCTTGGATGGAACAAAWGGAACCAATTTTGAAACTGTCCACTTCACCATGATACACATAAGAAATTCTATCATTAATTTGTGAGCATGTCCACCCAAGATTATTTCTTCAACCATATTTTTTTTGAACGGTCTATGATGGCACGTGAGCAGTGTGTATCAATTTTTGCTAGCACAAACACATTGCAACACACTATAGAAATTGATTGTCATGTTTATTAAYGAGAATTGCTACAAGTACATTTCCTACACCATCCTACAACAACAAAAGGAATAATGTCTATTATGTAAAAAAATTATTTGTACTGCCTGAATTCAAATAATAAATACAGTTTGGTTTTCCAAAAAAAAAAAAAAAAAAAAAAACAGTAAAAAAGCAAAATCAAGTATTTTTTGCTTTACCATAATTACAGTATTTTTGTCAACCTCTGCAGGTGCCTTGTTTAAAAAAATATTTTCAGGTCATAAATTCAAATAAGAACACAAAAAATATATAACTTAATTAAAGTTWAAAAAAAACATGGTAATGGTCCAATTTTGGTGTTGCAGGGTCATGCACAAACCAGCTAAGGACGAGGCTCTGAGGAAACAAAGGAGGACTATTTTTTGTGTCCCCTTATCGTATTTTGTGCATGTTTGCAAACACCCACAGGGATTGAACAGGGCTATAATTATGTTGACCACACAATCACCAAGAGAAAAAGACACTTCATATGATGTAAATTTGACTCCACTCAGAAAAGCCTTTTCATTTATAACAATGGCATGTGAGGGCTTTGGAAATATTAAAAAAAATCTTAATGATAAAAGTGCTTATTGACTGAGCCAGTCATACAGAAAAACATCTGGCTCTCAGTTGTTTGTCTGCACTCAGTACAAATGAATGAATGATGTCCAGCATGACCTTGAACCAAATATTATTTTCCTTAGTTACCCTAACACTCTGTCAATAAGTAAGTACATAATACTTCTAAAGGTTCTAATTATTAGTACCATTGTTTAGCAGTTTTTGTTTGTASAGTACAACAAAAAGAACTCTTAATAAATTATAATAAATTTAATTTCTATTGTTTAAGTGAGCAAATCCAATGAAATAGAATAAAATAATAATTATTAATAACAATCAGTAATAGAATAACTACTATAATTATTATGATTTCAAAGGTAACTAATAAGTGACTGATAAGCATGTAATGACTTCGAATGACTGTCTGAAGTTGTGATGGGTTTCTACCATAATGACATTTGCGCTTTTGTGTCAGTCATCTTGTTTCAAAACAAARGCATGTCAAACTTTCTAGATGGTGCATTAAACTGTCAAGGGCACTACAAAATTGCAAGTTTCCCTCYTTTTCCAGTTCAAACTGCTGTCTTTCTGACATTTCAGAAATTAATCCTTGTCAGAGTACTCTGATAAGAATTAATGTCCTAAGCCTCTGAGTAAGGTGTTTCACCTACTTTTTTATATGGTGTTAAAATTTATCTTTTTGCACAACTGTTTCTTTAGAAACACCCTCGCAGCTCAGTACACTAGTTAACCACAAGTTTCCACTATTTCAAAAATTGTTGTTGCAGAGTAGAATGCTGATTGCACTGAGCACAAATTATTACTGAGGGCACTCAATTTTTGATTCATTTTACATTATGRCCTTATTTGAAAAATACAGGGAGTCATTAAACTCAACAGACTATCATTGAAGAAGTATTTCTTTCATAATGGAATTGACTACCCTTACCCATAGTAAATTTGATACTTGTACATTCTTCAATCATGCAGGTAAACTTTTGAACTAGCTACTAGCATTTCCAGCTGACAGTATACTGATACTTTTGCTGTAAATGTGATTGCAGTTGGCATGAAAATTTGCTTATTTGAATGGAATAATTTATTATAGTAAAAAGTAATGACAATAACCTACATATACCGACACTGTAACAAAATAAATTTGTATCAAATTATAAACTATTATAGTAATAAGCTATGTTATGAGCTGCACATGTACTATACTTTCACTTAATGCACTCTCCAGGACTTTACCAGTACAAACAAGCTATACATTCAACCGAATGTAAAGAAATAATTCAAAAAGGAAAGAAAAGAAATTCAGAAGCAAACCATTTACTAACCATACTCTGACTCACATGCTTTTTCACATAWTTAAATAAAATATACCAGCAAGGCTGTCAACCCTCAACAACTCAATACCTTGAAATCAATAATTCATCCATTTTAAAAATTTGTACTTTTTTGCTACAGGACCTTACCAAGAATCGAAAGATATGAATATGAGTAACTGCATGACACTATGATAAACATGATATAGAAATAAAGAAAAGTTATAGTGCTTAAACATGACTATAACTTTCATTTATTTCTATATCTTACCAAGAATCTCWTATGTTTGATACAAACAAGATAATCATCTTGAGACATAATGTCTATAATATGGAAATAAAACTTTATGATAATTACAAGAACTTGGTGTTGCTACTGAGTTTTCWTGCAAGGCAAAATTTATGTAAATGAAATTGTATGAATGCACTAGTATATGGAATGATTTTTTTCAATTTCAACTCTTCTCCAGAAATTGCTTAGTCCTCGCCGATGTGTACAAGTCGGAGAACCGTAGCTTGAAACAAGTGAATGCAAGCACCCTGTGTTACCCTGCCTGTATTCCTGTATTTTATCATAATAATTAGATATTGCAGCCTCACAACTTTTTCTTGTTATCATGAGGAGCTTCGTCTTTTTTGGGCTTTTCTTCTTCTGCTGCAGAGGAGCTTTCTTCATCACTGCGAACATCTTTCACCTCCTATTGAAAAACACCACAATCTTCATTACCATCAGTATTTCTCATACATGTAAACAAAAATTAATCAAGTTTGAGAAACTCYGACGAAGGATTAACACCTGAGACGTCAGTAAATTGTTTCCCCTATTTTTTTATGGTGTTAAACTTGACTTTTTACACAAAAATTTCTTTAGAAACACTGATGCAGCTCACACTAGTTTACAGAACTTTTACAATTGTAGTTTCCACCATTTTTAGAAACATAAGACAATTTCATGGAAAGAAAGTAGAGTGAGTATGCTTTAAACTTTACATGAGCATTTTTTATTTTTTTATTTTATTCCTAAACATACCTTCCCCCTGCAAATCCTGACAATGACTACAAAAACACTGTAGCCCCAGAAGATATGAAGCACCTAAAGGAAACAAAACAGTCAGGGTATAAATGACAAATCTCATTTTCATGTGATGATAAAGGTAGACATAAGTATTTAGTACCTGTAGCATCAGTAGAAGTGTCATAAATAAATACCAAGACTTGAATGGAGTCGCATTAACCCAGCTACGATACACACTAGCAAGAACCCTGAGTAAAGATTCACATTCACAATGAATAACATTGGATTAAAAATGCTAKTAGAGATTCAAAGTTCCTTATTATTACAGTGGAATCCTGTCTTATGGCCACACAATAGTCTTCTTCACTATTCCCTGCGCCRTCTTGAAAGGTAACCATGCCTTTGCAGCGAAGCATGGTGGCCGTTGAGCATGTAATGATAGAAACCTTCTTTCATACAAGTATTCACAGGTATCTAGCATTGCAYGTTCAACGGTTGTCTYYCTTTGATGACATGGCACGGCTACCTTTCAAGATTGCACAGGGAACYGTGAAGGAGACTATCATACAGCCACCTTGTTGATATGGCCAGATTTGTATTCCCAGAAAATAAAACCCCATTTCTGCCTGGYTAATACAGTCACCAAYTAATAAGACTACTTTTCAATTTCCTTGGATAAACAATAGGATCCACAGTATTAACRACTTTCAAAAATGGTGTGATATGTCACAGTCGCCAACCAAGATACTGGGGACAAGCACTTAAATGAGCCCTCAAAGGCCAGCCTTCGTATAAACTTTGATGGTGTCTTGCAAGAGTGTTTTGTTATAAATAACATGCTAATATATCTTTATATAATATAACTTTTGGATACTACATACATGCRATCTTCATAGTGATTTCTAGATGAAAGGCCTTTGAAATCTCATTTYGATGATTCATCACTTGTTCCCCTGATATTGATGGTTGTGAACTACCACCATTTGTGAAAGTCAAGTCTATTATGACAATGTACATTATTATGTATACAATGTACATTATTATATCATGTACATTATTTTTTGTTACACATATTCAATGAATTATTTCCAAATAATGGCTAACATATTACTTATTATTGTTCTACAGGAAAATTTCTATTTTTTATTCAACATCTCTCAGAGTAAAATCCTTTATGGAGACATTGCCTTGATACAAGACTTTACAGAAATTATCCAGGTTTTGTTTGAATTAATGATGAATCAACTATACATGAGTATCTAGATCAAGCAATTACGCATCAGCTCTGCCTTATATTTTTAAACTCCTTCTCAAGCAACAGTAAAAATACTGTCTCATTAACAAATTACATCAAGGAACGCTGCATCAATCACTGAATCAAAATTAACAAATTAACTWCTTTTCCTTACCAAAATGGATAAATAATCAAACGAGAGATTGTGAATGAAAGTGCAAATAGAGCAAACAASAAATCACAAATTTTCTGGATCTTGGCATAATTGAAGACCTTTGCACCCTTAAAAAACAACAAACAGCAGTATGTAAAAAGGGGTAACATACAGAAATAGTGTACATACAGCGGATTTCATGACTCTTGTATGCAAAAACTATCTACTGACTGTGTGACAATACCATGACATCCAACAACATTCAAGGAGTATAAATGCATAGCTTATTACATGTACATCCTCAAGAGAACACAATAAGAGAGAATAGACAACATACCTCTAAAAATATATCTGCTACATCATGAACTAATATAATTACAGCTCCAATACGGAAAAATGATGAAGTGTATGAGAAACCTAGCAGAAGGATTGTGACAATATGATGAATGAGCATCTGCCAGAAGTCCTGCAAACAATCAAATCATAAGGTCTTACTCTAAAATCGTCTCCTTGGGATCCAAACAAACTGTAGTTAGTTCTATGCATAATCTATGCAGTGAATGCAGTGATAACCCAACTAGATGAGACCTCAAAAATCACATTTTGTGTGTTTAAAAAGCCATTTCTGTATCAAAACACCTGGCCATCTTGGTTACGGATTTCTAAATGCCCGTATGTTTACAGAAAAAATAAGTGACCTATTAACTAGTCCACCTCACCTCACACACCATCATCTATCTCCCTCCTATAACTCTTTGATTGCTTCGCAATCTTCGAGTTAAAAATTGTATTACATTCAGTATGTGGCTCTTAGATGATCAGTTAGATAAATAATTTGTATTGTTTTTACCTTTCTTTGAACATCTACAAACTGGGAGATTGTTAGAGATACATAGAAGCCAAGTTCAACAATATAATACAGAAATAGCTCTTCACTYATAACCTGATAAGAAAGAGTAACAAAGTATTGTTTGTGAAGTTATTACAAATATAGCAAGAGATAGAATGAGCAGAATGATTAAAGTAGTATGACATTACTTACATGTTTTTTAAGTCCAATAAAACAATAGTCTGGTTCCCATAGCCATTTTTCCTTCAAAATCAAAACAGGATTGTAATACAGTTATAAAATGACAGAGACAAAAATAAACTTTAATTTTTTTTGTTTAGTTGTATAGCAGTTCCCAAGTGGGTAGAGAGTGTGCAACATTTACTACTACAAATAACAATGGGAAAAACACTGAATAAAAGAAAATGCAAGTCAAACTTTTATTTCTATTTCGATCATTTTTGCAATATCAAAATAATAAAATGAAGTTAGAATAATTAAATAAAGTTAAAAATTCTTGTTATTGGTATTCACCAAACTATGGGCTATCACAAATCCAGCATTCTGATTGGCTACTGAACTGTGGTATATTCATGTTATACCATGGTTACACAGATTGAAGTGATATGAATGAATAGTCAAAAGAATGTTGTTTTTTTGTTCTTTCATCAAATTTATCCTATAGTTTGGTGGATACTAAAACAATTAGCCCACTCTGTCTTGTGGATTACAAGTTTACAGTCCATTCACCTAAGTACAGCCTTATAGACTCTTATTCCAACTCAACMTCATGGTCTTATTATCAAATTTCTGACAGTAACCACAAACATCATTAAAGTATGTACATTATGTGTACAATATGGCAGGAATTCACACTCCAATACCTTTTGTAATATACAAAATCCATAAATAGTAGCACTAAGATAGAATACAAATCTCCAACTGTGAATAATACAAAAACAGAATATTATAATCATAGTAATTATAATAATGTGGTCGTGAAGGATGTCTTATAGACAATTAAATCATACATGGACAATGAAAATCATCCTTCACGGTTCCTTGAGTCATCTTGAAAGGTAKCAGTGCATTTRCATCAAAGTGAGACGACCGTTAAGTTATACATGTATCTTCTTTTACATCCACATCTATCATAGCACSCTTAGYGTTCATCTCGCTTTGATTCTAAGGCACTATTCAAACTGGTGCGGGGAACTGTGARGAAGACTATTCAATAGGGAACTGTGAAGAAAACTATTTAATTATGCCGTAATTCTRAAATACATGTAAGGCAAAATGTAACACAATCTCAACTTAGTTACAATTTTTTTTTTATGTTCTTGGCATCAGACAAACAAACCACCATCAGAACGATACCTTTTATTGTTTCTCATGTCTTTGGCCATGCAAATTTTTTTC